GTGCTGGGGGGGGAGCAGTTATTGGCAGCTGTGTTGTGTGAGAGAGATCTCTGCATGGTCTCGTTAAACTATGAGGTTAATGTTGTTAGAGCATCTTCCTGGTGAAGGGGGATGGTGTCTTACACTTCCAAGCTTCCCACGTCCTACAACAGTTCCTTCCCTTGCTCTTGCTGCTCTGCATGGCTTGTGCTTTCTTCTTGAGTGTCTGTTTTGATCGTGTGTTACAGCTGAGCATGATTGTAGAGATGAACTTTACAGTGGCTGCCCAGTTAAAGAATAACTAGGGGTTGTTTCATCGATTTCAGGCGAAAAGTGTTCTTAAACTTGTAATTCTGCAGTGAGTCATGTCTGATGAGTCGGATGGCTCCTGTAATCAATAAACTTGATAAAGCTAGTGTTTAAATGATGCTTTGATCAGTTTTTGTTGTTGTGAGATCCTTGGTGCTAAGGAATAGGTTTTTTTTCTGTACATCAAAAGGCTGAGAGAGCTGCGACTCTTTAGCCTGGAGAAGAGAAGGCTGAGGGGAGACCTTATTAGTGCTGACAAGTATCTAAAGGGTGGTTTGAGAGAGGATGGAGCTGGACTCTTTTCAGTGGTTCCCAGTGACAGGACGAGGGGCAACGGGCACAAGCTGGGACATAGGCAGTTCCATTCAAATCTGAGGAAGAACTTCTTTTGGGTGAAGGTGTCAGAGCACTGGAACAGGCTGCCCAGGGAGGGTGTGGAGTCCCCTTCTCTGGAGATTTTCAAGAACTGCCTGGATGCAGTCCTGAGTGATGTGCTATAGGCAGTCCTGCTTAGGCAGGGAGTTGGACTAGAGGATCTCTAGAAGGTCCCTTCCAACTCCAACAATTCCGTGATTCTGTGGTTGGATCTGGCCTCTGTTGTGTTGCTGCTGAGTGTGTTGGTAACAGGAATAATGCAAATTTCTGGCCGCAGGAGGAAACCTAGTTCAGACAAGGCCATGGCGATGACTGTTTGTTATAGGAGCACTGGCTGCTTGTAGTTCAAACAAAGCTTGTTGATAAGGCCTCTTTTATTTTAGCAGATTGGATCTGGCCTCTGTTCTGTTGCTGCTGAGTGTGTTGGTAACAGGAATAATGCAAATTTCTGGCCGCAGGAGGAAACCTAGTTCAGACAAGGCCATGGCGATGACTGTTTGTTATAGGAGCACTGGCTGCTTGTAGTTCAAACAAAGCTTGTTGATAAGGCCTCTTTTATTTTAGCAGAGTTGATAAAGTATTATCAGATGCATAGGTAGGAGTTCTCCCTTTAAGGACCTGTGAGCAGGAAAGGCTGATGAGGAAGGAATGAAAAGGAGACCTAAAGCAAGGCAAAATTTAAGAGCTCTTGAGATACCCAGTGGCATTTTGAAAAGAAAGCTGTTGGACTATATCCCACTGAAAACCTCTTCAAGTTTAGTAAAGGTTGCCCAGGAAGAACACAGATGGTACCTTGCAACTCTCCTGCATGAGCAAAATAAACTCATTATGGGTATGTTTGTGGGGTTAACGTGGGACCATATCCACACTTAATGCTGTCTATGTAGTAAAAACTTCTGACCTGGGTCCAGAAGAACACAGATGGTACCTTGCAACTCTCCTACATGAGCAAAATAAACTCATTATGGGTATGTTTGTGGGGTTAACGTGGGACCATATCCACACTTAATGCTGTCTATGTAGTAAAAACTTCTGACCTGGGCTTCTTCATCTTGTAAGACTGGAATAACTTGTGTGATTGGGCCTTACAACATTGGCTCTCTTATGCTTTTGGCTGGAAATGCCATTATCGTGGCACGACATAAGCAAAAATTGCAACAAATTTGTACAAAGGATAATTCTCCTGCAGCCCTGTGTCTAGTTAATGGAGAAAATCCAGAGTGTCTCAGCAAGCTGTGCGTGGATATCAAGACATGTTGCTGTGTGCAAAAGCAATGAAGACAGAGCAAAACATGGAGCTCTGGTGGGACTGCTAACGCATAGCAGTGAGGAACAATTAATGCTTCTCCTAGGAAGAAGCGTTTGACCTTCTGTTGAATATGTCTGTTGCGAGACAGACGTGTACTTGCCATAAATCTCAGCATCTAAAATGAACTGAGCTGAGCAAGGAAGCCAGAATGAAATCTGGTTTCGATGTTAACTGCTCCTTAGTCTGTGATTGGAAACAGGATTGTGCTTTCATTGCCTTTCTGTGTGAACAGTGAAGGGCTTTTGTTTCGTGGCTGGATCTAATCATATTTAGCTAAGCATTCAGCTAACGAAGCACCAGGAGCTTGATGTACAGGGCACTCTGAGCTTTGCTGTCAGGTGGCCGTGTACTGACTATGAGCAATTGGGATTGACTCAGCTTTGGGCTATTGTTGCCTATAAACAGCTGACCTCAATGCATCTTAGAAGAATAGAATGTTGCACATAGTTTCTGGTAAGAGACTCATCTTTGAAAACCTAAAGAATTGTTTCTCTGGAAAATAAGAACATTAGATACATGCAGACCTGGCATGGCTTCAGAGGCTACTGGAGAATTCCTCTCTGGCTACTGGTAGCCACAACTGTTACCATATGGTTGTTAATGCTGACTGGCAGATAGCTGCAGAGCACATGGGCTTGGAGTTTTATGTAAGACACTAAAGGTGTGTGGGAGAGAAACTGGTCTGCTAATATGTAAATGTGCATCTGGAAGATAAGATTACACAGATTGTGGAATCTTTTTGTTTTTCTAGAATTGGAAAAGGCGCTTGCTCATTGTACTAAAAAGAAAATTATTCTCATTCATAAGAGCCTTGTAAACTTGTAAGAATAATTCTGCTTGGACAATCTGTGCTACAGTGGATGCTGTTCTCTTCACTGTTTCTTCTTTTGCCTTTCCTCAAAACTGCTTTTTGTCTCATCTCCCATGCTGTGCCACTCAGGAACTCTTTGGTCAGGCGTGAAACCCTGATACAAGTCAATGAGAAATGACTTGTGTAGCCTGCCTTGTCTGATCGTAATGGGCACATCAGCTTGCCAGGATGACGTTTCTTCAAGTGAGTTTCTACTTGATTCTGAACTACTCTGCTCCTTAGCCAGTTGAGCAAGTTGTTGTGGGCTGGAGTGTGAATTCTAGATGTCTTGCATAAGCAGGTTAAAACAGCACGCTTCTAGATGCAATTAATATTTCAGGATAAAACATTCTAGCAGGGTGTTAAATATAAAGTTGGGACTCTCTGAAATCAAGCCCACTCTTCCCCTTGCTTTGCTTGTAGTGGTGAGTTTGTCTCTGCTGGCAGAACTGAGGAGGTCTCTTTTCTAAAGTGGCGAGGGTAATTAGTAGAGTTTCTCTGTGGGTTTGCCTAGTTTAACAGGTACAGGATATTGATTGACAGTGGGAAAGGGTGCGTCTCTTTGGCACTTTCCTTTCCTTGTCTGGCTAAGGGCAAACTGGGTGTTATACATGGGTGTGATACACTCTCCTTGCATAGCACAGCAGCTTCTCACTGCTCTGGAGCTTTGTGAACTTGAAGAGACATATTTACACAAGGCTATATTTACTCTTTCTCCCAGGAATGTCTGGTGAAAGAAGACTTACGATCTGATACAATTTTTGAAACTTCAGTTAAAGTACCTAAATCATTGTAGAAGGATATACTTCCCTTGTTTATGTATTCCACTTGCATTCTTCCCTCTTTTTGGGGTTCCCTGCTATATGTGGTTTTGTGCACATTCTGCATGTGCTGATGCAGTGGCTCATGGACACAGATGCCTGTAGCTGCCTGCTCAGAGCTACTTTTCTCTGTGGTGAGTGGAGATGCTAGTGATTCTAGGTGGGGACTAAGCGACTCAGGCTCTTGGTGCTGATGTGATCTGCTGGTCCTCTCAGCCAGGGCTGCATTGCAGTCCTCTTACTGAGCTCCGGACAGTACTGTGGAGGTGGCTGCAGATTTTAGAGTGTGAGCAGGAAAGGTAAAAGGGGAGTAATGCACTGAAGAGGTGCAAGTTCTAGCTCAGGGAATTTCTAAAGGGACTTCTCAAAATACAGCTATGGAGCATCCTGTTTATAATAGCATTTCCTTTTTTTGGTCCTTCACAGCTGGTAAGGCCTTGCTAGAAACCATTTGAAAAACAACTCGGGCTCCTCAGGAATGGCTGGCTGATTTCAGTCATTAACCAAAGACCATGGTTATTGGCAGGAACATACAGACAGCCGCCGTGTTTGTTAGCTCTGTATAGACGGGCTATGAAATCTCTCCAGCCCCACAGTTTGAACAAGGGCCTGAGGCCCTCTGTTCACATGGCAGTCCCTTTGGCGCTCCTGGTCCTTTTCTGGGAAAGCCAGTAGCCTTCTCCCCCCTGCTCCCCGTGTTGCTGCACCTGTGTATGGACCTCTTCTGATGATGGGTTACTACAGAATTTCTGTACTGATTCTTCATTACACCTTAGAAGTTCTGGCCCCCACTGTTCGTGTGCATCATGTACAGAGTAGCTGTAAATTGCTATAATTTCCTGTCCAACACATTAAAATAAAATACTAAGTGGAGTGTCCAACAGCTGCTTCATGAACAGCTGAGCTTTCTGTACACTGGAAACTGGAGCTTGTGAGAGATGGCCAGGGCAGGCAGGAGCACTTATCCCAAGGCAAGTTGTCAGGATGTGATTCAAACCTTTGCTCTTGAGTTGGCAGAGTTTTACTTGTCACTTAGCACCTCTGCAGGGGGGAGATGTGACAAAGAATCTCTTGAGCTGTACAGAAGCTACCTCAGAAGGCTGTAGCCTGGTATCCCCAGTGTGATTGCTAGGTTACAAGTCAGGTCTAATTTGTCCTGCTTGGATCCTCTTGGTGCTGTGAGAGACAAGGCAGTGAGATTTACTGAAAGGCTTGTGCTTCTAAGCTGCACATTGAACTGCAGGTGCAAAATTTCCTTCCCCTACCCCCACCTTGAGCAGGGAGTTAGGCTTGATATTTTACAAAAGCAAGTTAATAATTAATGCAGCTACCCTGCAGGCAGCACAGCGCCCTTTCTGCCGTACCCATGGAGCGAGCTGAAAATGTGATTCTTTCTCTTTTTAGCTCAATAGCTGGAGGGTTACCTGGGGTGAAAACTGATACTGGTCAATAATGCCTGTGAGCCTGGGAGTTAGCCTTTAGATTGGGTTTGTCTAATTGTTTATGCAAATGCTGCAGTTTTGCTTGCCTCTTCTTTGGAGAAGGTCAACTGAAGCGATCACAGAATGGCCAAGTGTAAAAACACTTCTAAAATCCTCTTGGCTTTTCTGTACTGGTTTGCTGTAGCACTGTGGAAATGGTATTGTGTAAGTCCTGCATCAGAGATGCCGCTCTGTGGTGGTATCAGGTTTTAGTTACTCGATAGTGATGTTGTCTCATTCTGCTCTGGCTGATTTGTGTTACCCGCTAAACCAAAATAAATAACCTACTTCTGCTTGCTTCTCTTCTCAGGCTGCTTTTGTTTATGTGGCTTTGCTCTTTTTTTTTTTGTTAGGATTTTTGGTGCCAAGATACTACAGCAAGGAAGATGAGAAGGTTCTTAAGACCCGGACATGATCCAGTGAGAGAAAGGCTTAAACGTGACCTTTTCCAGTTTAACAAGGTACGGTGCTTTCCTCAAACTCCCAAGGCGTATGCGTGCAAGGCAAATCTGTCCTGAGCCACAGCACAGTGTAAAGGGAAGGGAAAACTACTCAAGTGTGGGTGGAAAAGTTAAATTTAGGAGGGGTGGTTTGTTCTCTTTTCAATTCTGTCCTTTTTTTTCCCCAATGTGCCTGACTAGTTTTCTTCAAGCTCATGAGCATGTTCTCAATTCTGGCTTTCGTTTTTAAGAAAAAGGATATTGTTGTGCTGTTGAGTGGCACTTGCTGAAAGAAGAGATCTTCATGGAGCTTTTACATACTCTGAGTGTTCTGTAGTTTGTCCTGCGATGTGCTCTGACTACTTATGTTATAGGTAGTCTTTGTAGTGCCCCTATGGAAGTAAATATTTTTCTAAAGATGCGCATAAGCCACAGCTTGTGATGCAGCTGAAGCCACAGTTGTCTGTGATTATACTTTGGGTTTATAAGTATACCTCTGTTTTTAAATGTGAATTTAAAAGTCTGTGGTAGAAATATGGTAGCACCTAGGCAGCACAATGGCCATTAATAATGAATTTAGTATTATCTTAGCCTGAATCCGTATCTAGTTTTTTTCCTTCCCCTGTGAAGAGGAAACAGCGATGGCTGTGCTATCTATCCAACACTCTGGGCATTTTTCTTTGGAGCCCTGGCCAGGAACATAGTGCTTTCATCTTTGTAAATGCCTGCTATTAATTCATTGCTAGGCTAATGGCTACTTAGGCCTTCATTGGATATTAGAAATATATTTGTAGGTTTTCTACTTCCAAGGCTTAAATGGAATTTTGCTGAGAAGTATAATGGATAAATGAAGTCAGCCTAGGAAATAACCTCCTTGATTCATTAAAATTGTAGTGTAGATGCATACTTAAAGTGGAACTTTGGATGTTTGAGATGAATGATTTAATGTAATTTGGTACTAAACCGCACCATTTCCGTGCATATCACCCTCCTCCTATTGGGGAGACATAAAGGACTTAAGGGTTCTTCAGGCCTATTTTCTGCTGCTACTGTGAGGAAATGCTGGTGCAGATGCAATAAAAATGTCAATAAATAAAGGCCAGGGTTGAGTTGCTTGCATTTAACTGAATGCAATGTCAGCTTCAGAAGACATCCCAGAGATGGGTCAGAATTGTTTATAAGGATATAAAATTGTATATACCTTGGAAAAAACCTTTGCTATTACAGGGATGTCTCTCCCTTGAATATGCTTTTCTCTTATGAGAAAGTTTGGCCAAGCTGTACTTGCCAGAGACAGACTAATTTGGATGATGCAAAACAGAGTTGAAAGAACTGGCTTTTGCAGGAGAGGGAAACTTCCAAATATATTAGAAGTTGGCATTAGGAGTTGTGACTCCATTTGATTCAGTCCTGAAGGTAAAAATTGCATCTCGTTTCTAGGGAGTCGACTGCTTTGGACACTTCCTAATGGTTTACTCTCATTAGCAACTTGGTAATTAAAGGCCTCGCAAAATGCATTTGCACTTTTAAGCCACAGTAGCTTGTTCTTTTCTAACAAGAATCGGAAAGAGAGTCAACATTAGACCATTACATTATAGCAGAATCTTTTTCATTATACTTTTCTCTTGCATAAAGTGCTGCTTTTTTTTTTTTCCCCAAGTCTTATGCGTCCCATTCCAGTATTTCCAGAGATAATGCATCATTTGAAAGCCTCTACCCTTTGATAAAATAAACATCTACTCACAGCTAGGTAAACTGAGAAGATTGGGGTAAGTCAGACCTTAATTCTGACTTGTTGAAGGTTGTGGTTTCAAGGAACCAAGAAACGTGGTACTTTCTGTCCCAGCACTGTCCTTGTCTTGTCCTGTGCCTGTAATGCAAGCACATTAGTGCTGGTAAGCAAGTTCTTAAATACTTGTTATTTGAGATCTTTGAAACACCTCTGGTTAAGAACCTGCTTGGGAAATATTTTGTGGGACTATGAAGTTGCTGATCAGAGAAATTGCACAGTGTATTTGCACCTCTTCGGTGTGTGACTCCCTGTGATGCTGGTGGTGACTAAATGGAAGGTCTGTACCTTAAAAGTGCTGGGGATTCCTGCCCTCATTTTATTGTTTACACTGAAGCTGAATATGAATGCATAATTCTACACAAGTTTAGTGTTAATACAATGGAATGTGTTTGGCCATGCTGACCTAGTAATGGACTTCAATTTGAAAAGTCTTTTTAATTGGTGCTGGTGGATTTTTTTGTTTGTTTGTTTACTCCCTCAATTTTCAATAGGTTGCAATCTTTTTCCTGTTTCCCTCCTGCATTTCTGTTCTGGATAAGAGGTGGTCTAGATGGTTTTAAAGGACTGATTTGTCACTGGACTAGCTCTTCAAAGTGCCCCCAAACTTGTGTTTGTTTCAACAAACACCTTCCTAAATTCTGCTAGTCGCTTAGCTTTGCATATCTGTTTCTCTCTATGAGTAAGAACTTCCCATACTTGTGTGTACCTGTTGCAAGAATCTGTTTTTAGCTCAGTGGATAGAATGAAGGATAAGGTATGTGGACTTGGCAGTCGTCGTCTTTAAGTTTATCCTGCTTTTGGAAGTAGTATTTGGATGCCTTTGGCTCAGTCCAACCCCTGCAGAACAAACATGTTCAGGCTGGCATTGTCAGACTAGCTGATGGGTAACACACAGGTGAACCAGCCTGTCTTACAGCTGAATGTTACCAAACTGGGAACATTGCATTTAATTTATGGCTTTGTGTTTTTTTGCCTCTTTTCAGTCTTCCTAACCCTTTGCTAGTAGGTGTGATGGATAGCTTACCTTAAATACTGTATTAGTCTCTATGCAAAGTAGATTTAACACGTACAGGCTTCATTGTTTCTTCAAAAGACACGTTAACAAAGGTACAGGGTTTGTATTGCCTGTGGTTGGGTTTGTCTCTGCTTTGTCATAACAATCTGAGAGGAGAAGCAGAGAGAAATGAAAAGAAGGAAGACAGCACTGAATTTCACCTGCACAGCTTTAGTGTGGGCTGGGAACAACTGTTAAGTTTGGCCGCATTTTTCCTGCAGTAAATATGACTGACATGAAGCATTTCTGTTAGTTAATGCTGCTGACATCAGGCTTACTTTTACCGAGAATGACAAATCTGTGGTCTGAGGAAAATGAAAACGAAAGCTCCTACCTTTCCTCCAAGAAACAAAGGCCCTTTTGAAGAGGAAGGGCACATTGTGGGCACTCTGGTTTCTTATTTCAGTTCTTCTGAAAGGCTCCATTGTAACCTTGCCTGCCTTCTTCCCCCCTCGCTCCCCCTTGCTGGGTTTACCTGCTGAGCAGGTGAAAGGATTGGCTGATGAAGGCTGCCTAAGAGAGGGGAGGGAGGGCAGGCAGCCGAAAAGCTGACTTGATGTGGTTTAACAACTGCGTGTAAATAAGTGCAAGAAAAAAGATCTAGGTAATCAGTGTAGTGAATGTGAATGCCAGGCCCTGGTGGTGTCAAATGCAGCCAAAAAGCCACTCCAATGCCTTTCTCGCCTGGCTGTGGAAATAATTGAACGACACAGGAGGGAGTTATCTTCATTACATCTTATGGGCACCTTGGTTGAGGGTTCAAAGCTATCAGAAACCATTAGCACATTTACTTTACTGCCTAAGTGGTTGTGTAACACACCGTGGTTGTTACGGATACTCCCTTCCTGTGCTTTTGCGTGTGGCCTTCTGGTACTAACAGTTTACAGATACTGTAGCTTTGGCAAATTTGTCTATGGGATGTGTGGGTACTTCAAACTTTCTATAGAAGGAAAACCTAGGGAAAAACATCACCCTCCTTTTATTAGGACTGAATGGTATATGCTTGGTTATGCAGGTCATAGGTCTTCTACTTGAAAATTAAAGCTTTTATTGACTTGTCTAGTGTGTTGACAAATTAACACATCAAACCCAAGATATAATTAGGCCAATATTAAGGCTAATATTGACAGCATCTGAACAGGGAGTACAGTATTGTGTAAGTCATGGTTTTCTATTATGAGAATTGTGGCTAAAGCCTTCTCTTCTGGGCTGGAAGAAATCTCAATTGATATTTCATTGAAAATAGCACCTAGTTGTGCTGATGACGTGACAGTGTAGTGACTGTGAACAAGTTGAAACCAAAGCTAACAGCGGAGTTACACTGGTGTTTCCCTAAAAAGTTCTTCAATTTCTTTTGGGGATGGGTGGAAAGGTGTCTACTGCCCTATGTTCAATTCAATTAAATGTCTGATTTGTTGATAAGGTAACATGTCACCTTGAATGTTCTTCCCAGAATTGTATAATCTACTTCATACTCCCACAACTTTGACAACTAGGAAGCTTTTCTGTGTTGTCTCAGTAGCTGTCACGGTACAGAGAAATTCCTCTTTGCCTCTGCTGGATTAGAAAACGGCCCTGTTTCAATTCTGGGTCCATAGATAAGTTCCTAATTTCATAAACTCTCCTCTAGGAAGTTTTATATGTGTAGCTAAGCAAAGGTTGGTTTGCAACAACTTCAAGGGTGATGTTAAAAAGATTGACTTCTCAAATTTATTTTTAATAATACAAACTTAATACTTAACTCACCTTTTTGGAATATTAAGAAGTAAGGCTGGATATTAAGTTATCATAAAGGGAAATAAACTCAGTGGTCTTGGAGAGCCAGTAGCACTAATCTCAGTTTACTACCTATAAAAGGTTAAAAATGAGTAACTACTCCTTTGCCCAGTCTTATGAGTTGGCAAGCAGAAAATTTGGAAATGCTTCAGTATTTCCAATTTTGTCTCTTAAAATGGCTCATCTTCCTCTAATAGACCTCAGACTGGGGTAACTGATGATTTAGAGGAAGGACATCTATTTTTAAAATTTATGAATTGTGAGTAAATGGCTAAAACTGAAGCAGTCTGGCAGACTATGGAGTCAGCCATATCCTCCTATGCCTGTGTTTTTGAGCAGGACCAGTAAAAGGCATTAAACTACTTTGTAGCAGCTGGGAGCACCTCAGGCTCATGGCCTGACCACAGAAATGAAACTGGCTTTTTTTGATTCTCCTGCAAGGGATTAAGTTGGGAAATCACTATGCAGGAAATAAAGTCCAGGTGTTACTTTTAGGTTGAATAAACCATAAAGCCAAGTGATGTGGTAGCTGTCTCGAGGACATGATGGAAATGAGGATGGGAGTGAGATGCAAGTGCTTACTTCTGTAGATGGAATAGATGGAAGGTTCTTTGCTGCTGTTTCTTTTTTCTTTCTTTTTTTTTTTTTTTCATGAGTGTTTTCAGGCTGTTTTGTAACAAATTCCTATTCTGCAGCTGACCAGCTTGCCTTAGAAGAACATATTTTCCAGAAGCTGGGACTGTAAGGATGACAAGGTTTTCCGGGAAGTAGCCCTATTACTCTTTGGGCACACAAATCCCTCTTTACATGCCTGTATGTTATTGAACACTCATGCATAGTTGTTTTGTTTAAACAATGATAATAGCTGTACATTAGCACTTCTAAAAACTTTTACAAGCAGCTTGGTTGCATCCTGTAAGTATGGCAGAATGTAGTGTGTATATAGATGTATATTCCATAGTGTGTACATATATTTGCTGTGCTAAGCGTGGTGGGTACAACATGCTCCAAATGTTCCTCTTAGTGCAGCGTAAATTCTACTTTAGGGAAGCCACTAAAGGCCAAGCAACATACTGCCCATGATAGTGACTGACATCTCTTTATTAGCAAATGGCTTTGAATTAGTCTGAGGTGCCCTAGCAGGTTCCTGCTCTCGTTAAATTCCAGTCTTCCTTGTGCTACCTCTGGAAAATGGATTTCAGCTACATTAGTTTTCCTGACTGCCCCACAGGGGAGATCTGTTTAGTTTTCTTGATGAGCACTGATGTTCACTCAATAGTTCTTCATAGCTTTGCACCATTTCTCGATGTCAATCAACAGGAGGAGGTCATGAAGGCTGACCTGTGTGGAATTTGGCAGATAATATACTGCCCACGATAGTGACTGACATCTCTTTATTAGCAAATGGCTTTGAATTAGTCTGAGGTGCCCTAGCAGGTTCCTGCTCTCGTTAAATTCCAGTGTTCCTTGTGCTACCTCTGGAAAATGGATTTCAGCTACATTAGTTTTCCTGACTGCCCCACAGGGGAGATCTGTTTAGTTTTCTTGATGAGCACTGATGTTCACTCAATAGTTCTTCATAGCTTTGCACCATTTCTCGATGTCAATCAACAGGAGGAGGTCATGAAGGCTGACCTGTGTGGAATTTGGCAGATAAAGCTGACCTTACAATATGCTGGTTTTGTGTCAGACTTTGAAATGTGCTGAGCAGTTGGTTTACAGAAGTAAAGTTGATGTGGAGTGATGGAGAGTATTGTGGTGACTGAGCGAGCAGTGCTTATGCAGAGTTATTTATAATCTTAACATAAAGAGCTGCTCGTGTTACTGTTTTCAAAATATTTCTCTTTCATTTCTGTTACACTTCTGCATATCCTGGCTGCGGAGCCAGGAGTTCTTGGAATAGGCTCATCCTTAGACTGTTGTTCAGCAAATGTAACCTGTGTTTGAACACTTTTCAACAGAAAAAGCTGCCATTAAGTGCTCTATTTCTGACTAACATGCCATATTTAACTTCTGATTTTTAGCTGTATACAACAATGCCCATGAAACATGCTGTTGATCATGATTTTTCTTTCTCTCTACCAGACCGTGGAACATGGATTTCCCCATCAACCCAGTGCACTGGGCTATAGCCCATTTCTCCGCCTCATGGCCATTGGAACGCGATCGGGAGCCATCAAACTGTATTCTTTTGAACAAATGTGGCTAAATTTCTCTGACGCATCAGAATATGCATCTTTGAAGACACTGTAAAAAGTTAGACTAAGTATAAATTTGCGGTCAAGGGGTTTTGGAACATTGGAAGAGTTTGCCTAGGTTTGGAGTGATTTGAATCTGATCGGAATGGGGTTATCTTGCTAAGAGCTGATCTGTAGCTCAAACAGAAGCTGAGCTGATGCAGATACTAGTCAAGAGTCTTTGCTCTTGCTATGCAGAAGGTCAGACTAGACCAGGCCTAAGTTTAGCAATCCTTCATGTTGTAAATTCCAGGCTTGTTTAAATATTTGGGGCAGGGTTCCTTTTTTTTTTTTTTAAAAGCAATTCTTAAAACTGAACTCATAAATGCTTTCAGCTTCTCGAGTTTTTCACCATCCAGGCATTAAAGATCTGAACTTTGAAGGTGGTGACTTTTTATTTTTTTAGCTAATGACGTCCAGCCTGATTTTTATGTATATGTGAGGCACTGAGGTGATTCCAATGGCACAGTACCAGTTAGGCAAGCTGTAAAACAGGCACATCACTCAGCCCAGAAAGGAAAAGTTGGTGCTCTCTCTGCCTGCTTAATCATTCATTCCCAGTGGTGTTTGTGTTCAGAGGCTGGACTCCGCATGCGGGCGGCAGCCATCTGTCTCTTGGTTACAAATTAGTTAAGCAGGATTGTAGTGTCTGGGAAACCACTAAACATCCCTGAGAAAAAACAGGGTCCGGGCACCTCTTCTGCATATGCTCAAAGGATGAAGTAAACTGCCATGTTTCTCCTGGAGTGTGTGTAACAGGCCACAAGCATATAAAATCAAAGTAGATTTGGATTGGTTCTTTTCAGTTCAGATCGCTAACAGTAAAACGTGGTTTCAAACTAATCTCTTTTCATCTTGCTTGCTAGCAAGCTTCTTATCAATTAATTGTAGCTGTGGGTCATCTTAAATACTGTAGATCCTCAACAATCTCTTCAGATATGGTGCTCCTGGGGTGGAGTTCATGGGTTTACATGAAGAAAACAATACTGTAATGCAGATTCACTTTATACCTGATCAGGTAAGTGTATTTTCAGTCCCTCTGTGACTCATGCAGACCTCCTCTAAACAGGTGTTGAGTTTGTTCCAGGTAACTGGGCTCCTATTACCAAGTATATTCAAATGTTGCTTGGCCAGGAAGGCTTATCCCAGTGTATTTTGTGCTCTCAGCAGCACTTGTTGCTGTGGAGATGCTTGGTAAAACTTAGGAGTGGCATTATTGTTTGTTAGTCATTTATCTCAAGCAACATATTGGGAATGGTAATAAGGCCAAAATAGTTCGGGCAATCTGCCGCAAAACCGAGAATTTCCTTTTCCATGTGCAGCCCCTATTCTTTCAGCAGGACTGGGTGGTCTTTCTTCTGCAGAAGAGATAGAACAGTAGCTGCTGCTGAACTGATTTAATTATTTTCATGAGTTCAGAACAGCACTGCTAACCTCACCGGCTGTTGAGCTTGTTGCCTTTGTGTTTAGGGGTATTGAATCTTCTGATCGGAATGGGGTTATCTTGCTAAGAGCTGATCTGTAGCTCAAACAGAAGCTGAGCTGATGCAGATACTAGTCAAGAGTCTTTGCTCTTGCTATGCAGAAGGTCAGACTAGACCAGGCCTAAGTTTAGCAATCCTTCATGTTGTAAATTCCAGGCTTGTTTAAATATTTGGGGCAGGGTTCCTTTTTTTTTTTTTTAAAAGCAATTCTTAAAACTGAACTCATAAATGCTTTCAGCTTCTCGAGTTTTTCACCATCCAGGCATTAAAGATCTGAACTTTGAAGGTGGTGACTTTTTATTTTTTTAGCTAATGACGTCCAGCCTGATTTTTATGTATATGTGAGGCACTGAGGTGATTCCAATGGCACAGTACCAGTTAGGCAAGCTGTAAAACAGGCACATCACTCAGCCCAGAAAGGAAAAGTTGGTGCTCTCTCTGCCTGCTTAATCATTCATTCCCAGTGGTGTTTGTGTTCAGAGGCTGGACTCCGCATGCGGGCGGCAGCCATCTGTCTCTTGGTTACAAATTAGTTAAGCAGGATTGTAGTGTCTGGGAAACCACTAAACATCCCTGAGAAAAAACAGGGTCCGGGCACCTCTTCTGCATATGCTCAAAGGATGAAGTAAACTGCCATGTTTCTCCTGGAGTGTGTGTAACAGGCCACAAGCATATAAAATCAAAGTAGATTTGGATTGGTTCTTTTCAGTTCAGATCGCTAACAGTAAAACGTGGTTTCAAACTAATCTCTTTTCATCTTGCTTGCTAGCAAGCTTCTTATCAATTAATTGTAGCTGTGGGTCATCTTAAATACTGTAGATCCTCAACAATCTCTTCAGATATGGTGCTCCTGGGGTGGAGTTCATGGGTTTACATGAAGAAAACAATACTGTAATGCAGATTCACTTTATACCTGATCAGGTAAGTGTATTTTCAGTCCCTCTGTGACTCATGCAGACCTCCTCTAAACAGGTGTTGAGTTTGTTCCAGGTAACTGGGCTCCTATTACCAAGTATATTCAAATGTTGCTTGGCCAGGAAAGCTTATCCCAGTGTATTTTGTGCTCTCAGCAGCACTTGTTGCTGTGGAGATGCTTGGTAAAACTTAGGAGTGGCATTATTGTTTGTTAGTCATTTATCTCAAGCAACATATTGGGAATGGTAATAAGGCCAAAATAGTTCGGGCAATCTGCCGCAAAACCGAGAATTTCCTTTTCCATGTGCAGCCCCTATTCTTTCAGCAGGACTGGGTGGTCTTTCTTCTGCAGAAGAGATAGAACAGTAGCTGCTGCTGAACTGATTTAATTATTTTCATGAGTTCAGAACAGCACTGCTAACCTCACCGGCTGTTGAGCTTGTTGCCTTTGTGTTTAGGGGTATTGAATCTTGCTCCTGGGGTTTCCTGAACAGTTATTGCCACAAACTAAAAATAGGAAGGCAGAATTTTCCAAATGTCTGGTGAGTGTCTAACCACTTTCCCTTCCCTTGACTGGCAGACTGGTGTCTGGGCCGCATACTTTGTTGCCTGATGCCCCCAGTGTAGCACGAGTGGCCTCTCTCCGAGAGGGATTTAATTCTTGAGGCAGTTTTGGGTGTCTGTTTGCTTAACTAATGGTATAAGCTGAAACTCCCATGGGGAGTGTTGCACCAGGTGTGGCTTCAGCAGGTAAAATGCTTCAATTTGAACATGCAGCCAGCAGGGCTGGGCTCATAAAAGGACTCTGACACAACCCTCCAGAATGAGGTTGGACATGAAGAATGCAAGGAGTGTGGTGTAGTAGACTCTGTCAGCCCCACCCAAAGCTGGGGTGTGTTTCAACAAACCGTGCCGAGCGAGGTGGTGGTGAGCTAAGAGCCTGCAGCTGCCTGGCTGAGCTTTATAGCATAGGGTGAGCTTTTTCAAGAGCTTAAATCCTTGTCATCCCCCTCAGTGATAACCTGTGCCTTTGTTCTATGTAAGAGGGGTTTTGGCCTTTAGGCTACTTCTTGTCTCCCCCCAAATCCCTCGCTGTTAGCTAACAGCATTGCTGCAGTATATACCCACTGCTATAAAGAATTGCAGCTGGCTCCTCAGCCTTGTTTTAGCAGAGAATTATGAACTTTACTGCTACATTTACTGTGTTATATTTAATATTGTTGTGGGAAATAAGCTAAGTTTTGCTTCAGCTTATTGATGTATCATTGTTAGTGTGATAGTACTAACAAAGAAGCCTTAGTAATAGTAGAGTCTAATAAATTGTATCCAATTAATCCCCAGAAATGCCCTTGGTCTATCAAGGGATCCTTGTTTGCAAAGCGTTATCTAGGTGAAGAGAAACAAACTGGAACATGGCCTTCAACACAAAAACCCAAAGGGTAGGGGTGTATCAATAAGGCCAAAGAAACCAGTCTGGTAAATCTGCCAAGTAGATGGTAGCAAAGACTCTGAAATAACGTGTAGCATAATCAACTAATCAAAGGCACGTTTAGGATAATGATTTTGTAGAATAGGTGTATGTGTGCCTTATATGGGAAAAAAGTACAAAATAAACCTGTAATAGGTCAAGCGATCGGGAAGAATGTGAGCTCCAACTTCTCAGCCAATGAGAAGGGAGACAGAAACTCAAGCGGCCGGGATAAAGGTATAAAATACCTGAAAGCTAAAAGATCATCGTGCATCTATTTTTGGTGCACCCGATTCAGCGCTGTTTCGTATTAATAAATTATTATTTTTTTTAACCTTTGCTTTGGTGACTTTGTCCTCTTTAAATTCTAAGATGTGAGTTGGTGTTTCTCACATTGTGATACTGAAAAAAGATGCATTTTGTGGTTTTGTAGTGCCAGCTGGTGACATTGCTAGATGATAACAGCTTGCATCTCTGGAGCTTGAAGCAGCACAGTGGAGCATCTGAGCTGCGGGAGGAGAACCGCTTCACCTTGAAAGGGCCACCTGGGTAATCTGCAAGAGTGTTTTTGAGCTAGTTTTGGGATAAGGAAGTAAGAAAATTCCACTATTGTTCCAGCTACAGCTTGTCCTGTTCTTACAGACTCTCACTCCTGTGAATCCATTAAAGGGGCATCCATAGAAACCAAAGGGGTGTTGGGTAGGGCCCAGGAAGCCACATTTTAAGAGTGTTGTACCCATGTAAAGGATGCTATATATTTTTTTTAATATAATGTGCATCCCCTTCTGTGTGTACAGGAGCTGTTTAAGGTTAAGTAAATCTAAGCATCCCTTAAGTCAGAGTTTAAAATACTGCTTGACAGTTTTGGGACACTTACTAAGAGAGGTGTCTGTAAAAAGGCGTCTGGGTCTTTGTCCATGTGCTTGTCAAAAGTTTTTGACATAATTTATCTTAAAGCTAGTGTTTTCCTCCTTCAAAAAATCATGTCTGGCTTAAAATTTCTGCCTATAAAACTTGTAAATATCCCCGTTGAGTTTTTAGTTCTCTCGAGTTCAGTAAGGATAGTCTTTTGCATGCAGTTGATGAGTCTCTTTGCGGCCCCAGGTCTCCACCAAGTGCCACGCAGATAACAGCTGTCCTTCCCCATTCCTCCCGGGAAGTCCTGTATCTTGGCACAGAGAGTGGCAACATCTTTGTCGTGGAGCTTCCGTCATTCCGAGTGCTGGAGGACAGGACCATAACCTCTGAGGGCGTGCTGCAGCGGTGAGTGAGCAAACAGGCGCTGCTGTGTAGAGGTGGAATCTCATTAGCAGGCATATCCTTTGTTAAAACGTCACCCAGATTATGCACTGGGGCCTCACTGTTGTGTTAAGCATTGTCCAAATCTGCATGACTCCTGTGAAAGTAACTTTTGGTCCTGGTTATGTGTTAGGTAACAGTTTCTGTCCTGATCAACCCAGTACTGTCACCGTGCAGGTATAACATATGGGCAGAACTATCTAGGAGACACTTGGAGTAAATCTGCAAACCTTGTGCTCTGTCCCTTTTGTTTACTTTTGCAAGAATTGTTATGCTTAGCTGTAATTACACTTTTTTTTTTTTGACTGCTGGCAGAACTTCTCATGCTGCTTTGTCCAAATGAGGATTTTATTACTCTGGAGATTCAAGTGCTGCTGAAAACTGCCCTACTTCATGTTGTTGTTGCTTCCTACTGACATTTCCATGTCACCTTTATTCTGTAAGGGTCACAAGAGAATAGGGAGGGTGATTCAGACTGTCTTTACACTCCTGGGATTCAGTCCTGAAATTCATTGTAAACCTAAAGAAAACGGGACCGGATGCACGTATATATGGCAGGCCTGGTGTGATGTCTTACATGAGATTTTTCTGCTGCTGGAAGGATTTATGGAGGATTGTACTTATTCTCATCTGTTTGGCTGTCTTTACACTCCTGGGATCCAGTCCTGGAATTCATTGTAAACCTTGGGGTTTCCCTAAAGAAAACGGGACAGGATGCATGTATATGTGGCAGGCCTGGTGTGATGTCTTACATGAGATTTTTCTGCTGCTGGAAGGATTTATGGAGGATTGTACTTATTCTCATCTGTTTGAACTTTTTGTTGCTTAATTTCTCATTCTTATACCTTAACTGTTAGTACAGTCATATTCAATTGTACCTGGAAAAAACTTTTCTTGGTTTTCTCTTCTGTTTCTGTAGGGTACCAGAAGATTATTGTAACAGGCGATCGTGTGAATTGGTGGAAGCCCTTCGGGAGCACCCTAAGAACCCTGACCAGATCCTGATTGGATACAGCAGGGGCTTGATTGTCCTCTGGGACCTGCAGAATAACAAAGCCACACACCATTTCCTGGGCAGCCAGGTATTAACTCAATGCAAAGTCAGTTGAGCAGGGGAGGAAGGGCTCTATCCTCTCAGGGCACCTGGAGACAAGTAGGTGCAGGGGGAGCCTGCTAAAGCTTCTTTTTCAGTGAGAATGTGTTAGTTTTGGGGGGTGTTAACAGCTCTTTGGAGAGCAGTCATTGTGTGTCTTTCTCTTCAGCAACTGGAGAACCTCTACTGGCAGAGGGATGGCAGTAAATTCATTAGTTGTCACTATGATGGAAGTTACACCCAGTGGCCAGTATCCAGTGACAACAGGCAGCCTGAGCCTCTGGAAAACCTTGTGCCTTATGGTCAGTAAGTGAGGTTTAATAGTTGCATGTTCACCTAAATGCAAACTCATTCTGAGCTTGTCTGGGACATTTCAGTTGCGTTCTCCCCAGTGTTTAATACTAATGGCAAAATGTAGAGCTACCTTTTGAATGGGCCATGAGCCTGGACTAAGGGATTTCAGTCCTGGTTTTTTATCTTCTTGGATTTTGAACTCCTTTACAATGTTGAGGTCTGTCCTGATTTTTTTTCTTTTTGGATTTTAAACTCCTTTACAATGTTGAGGTCTGTCCTGAACATGGAGCGCAAATGTGTTGACGCTAATTTGTGACCTTTATGAAGAATGGTGTTGGTGATTCAGCTCTGTTTTAGTTCATGTCCTGTTCAGCAGGAGTTGCTTGGATCTTCTGTAATTATTAGTGAGCTAAGTGTACTTTTTGTCGACCTGAGCAGTGATGAAATGTTGCATCTGATTTGCTGAAACCCATCAAATGGAGATGACCTCATCTTTTTAAGCATATAGAAGCTTTTAAAGCTCTATCACCTTTACGTTAGTTTCAGGAATGCCTGTGTTTTTAACGATCCTTTCTAGTTAATCAGCTTCTACAACAGCACTTGCACTCCCTGTTAGCTGTCAGGTTCAAAACTTCCCCTGACTCTAAACCTTGTTTTGCTGAGCAGTGCTGTGGTCAGTGAGGCCCAGAAGACTTGTTGTCTGATGTGGCTTGGTCTGGGGAGGTGGTGGTGCCACCAACTAATTCAGGTGGCTTCCTTTGACTTGGAGGCTGAGGTGTCCTAGGTGAAGCAGAACAAGAACTTCTTAATGTAAAGATGCACTTCTTGAATTATGGCAAATAACTCTGTTCTCTTAGGTCCTTTTCCTTGCAAGGCCATCTCCAAGATTTATTGGCAGACAACAAAAAATGGGTAAGTTTGTGGTATATCCCTTCCCTCTCAGCTGTTTAAAGGCATTTAAAGGTTGCAGCGTGCAATACTGTAACAGCCTTTAGAGTAGCATCATAAGAATTTTAAGAATTTGTTGTCAAAGTTTGACTTGCCTCATGTGTTTGAAATTTTGCTTACTCTTCACTTCAGCATATACCACTCTAACTCTGTATTTCTCTCAAGGCTTCCTTACATTATATTCCAAGGAGGGATGCCCCGGGCCAGCTATGGTGACCGGCACAGTATCTCTGTTGTCCATGGCAGTCAGCAAACAGCCTTTGACTTCACGTCACGGGTGATAGACTTCTTTATAATCTTCAGTTCGGAGCCTACTGCAGGTATGTGATGAAAGGGCATTACTGAGGAATTAGAGTAGCTGTGTACGCATGTGGAAATCTGCCTGGTGTAAATAGCATGTAAAATGTAATAAAGAGGTCAGTAGTTTGGGGTTTTTCTGAGACTTTAACAGAGAATGATACAATTATTTAGGGTTAAAAAGACCCTTAAGGTTGAGTCCAACTATAAAAGAGATTTGCCATTTAAAAGTGAAGTGTAAAATACTGGTATAAAGAATGGGCTGGTTATAAATGCCATACATTCCTCAAAAAATTAAGGTACTCCATTAATGAGAAAACACCGCTTAGGCTCACGTCTGTGTAAGCTGGACATAACCAGGTTGTGAAATGAGGATCTGAATATTGCTGTTTGGAAATAGCACTTCAAAAGAGTCAATAATTAAAACCAGAATTTACTCCCACTGAGACATTGTTTCTTTTAATTACTACCTGTATTTATGAGTAGGGCTCTGGGTAATAAATCAGCAAAGGGTGACATAGAACCAAGAGTCAGTATGCAGGGAGCTTAATTTACTTACTGCTGGTGAACGTGAATGTAAACAGGTCTAAAACTGAATAGCCCTCATTCCATGGCTTGCTTGGAGCTTGTCAGATTCTTGTTGCTGTTGAAGAGCTTTGTTGCCCTTACTTCCGCACTAGCTGTAATATTATTTCTTTTCATGGAACTGTAAAGGATTTTCCCCAAGAACTGTTTCTCTAATGCTGGTGTAGTTCCTGCTTTTGGTATAAAATGCTATTTCAAGCTCCACAAATGTTCGGTATTGGAAGTTGGACCAGACTAAATCACAGAAGTCTAGATGTTTTTAGGAGCTTGTAGGCACATCTTCTGTTGCTGAATGTTCTCGGGCTTTCTAGTTTCAGGTTTGCCTGGTAGACTAGTTTCCAAACCTATTTGTCTTGTGTACTGCTGGGGGTGGTGGTGACAGCTCAGGGCTACACACTGGGCAGCTGTGGGCATTCAGAGATGTAGATGCAGGTTGGCTCCCTCTGGCCTATTGTACAAAGCAGACCACAGACCACAGATCCAGGGGAGGACCGTCTTGGGAAGGCAGGCACAAAGAAACAGCTCCTCCCACCTCTCTCCCCAGACCTTAACAGACCCTCTCAAGTCACTGCAAAACCAGCAAAGTAATTGAACTGAGATGAAGGGTCTTTATGTGTGTGGTGTTATAGGTTTTTCCCTACAGAACACTGCCTTTTATAAGCATCTTCCAAACGTGCAGAACCTTCAAGCTTAACAATGCCATGTCATTAAACTTGAGATACTGCTTAGCTTTTATCATTAAAGAAACTAGACTCTTTTACTTTCTATGAAGCCAAGATTCTAGGTGATGGAACAGGTGTCTTGATGAAAGAAATCTGAGTTCTTTAGATAAGAGAGGAACTACTTAAAGTTCAGTTCCTGGATATGATTAGAAGTCATTTAGGATGAAGTAACTGAACTTAACAGGCTTGATATTTATACTTCCCAAGGATTGAATTAACCAGTTAACACGACTTCTAGTGGGTACAGGAAGGAGCTGCTACAGTAAGCTGAAACTGTTGCACTTAGATGAGGAAGTTTTGGTTTTTTTTTTTACAATAAAATGAGGTTTTTGTGGTGCTGTTGCACTTAGATGAGGAAGTTTTTTTTTACAATAAAATGAGGTTTTTGTGGTTGACAAGCTTCCTTGTGGCTGATTGCCTAAGCTTAGTGGATCTACGTAGCTTGCCTTGTTTGCCCTTAAGCAGTCTTCCCTGCAATGGCAATACGAAGGTATTAATTGTATACCAAAGCCACTTAATTTAATAAGCACAAAGCTTATGCGTTGCAGCATGGTGGTAGCTGGTGACTTTCCACTACCCTGAATATGCTGTGGAAACAATTTTTAAAAGGCTAGCCCTTCCTGTTTTCTTTCTCTTTTTTTTTTTAATACAAGCAGGTGGATGAGTGTATGGCAGTCATGACAAATTCTAGTGTGCTTGCCAATTCAGCAACTTCACATAGATTCTTGCCATAAGCAATGAGCTCAGATGTGTGCCTTTGCAGGAAAAAAAATATTGTTAAAACAGAGTATATTTGGTTAATAGGTAACAGCAGTCAGAGTGCAGGGTTGATCATGCATGATGTAGTACAGGTGTGATATTATTTATTCTATTCAGAAGTCCTGTAGACAACTGCAAATGATGGCACATAAAGCAAAGTAAAACTGTATATAAAACACTTTTTCATGAAGAAACTGAACTAATTAGTTTTGTGTTATGGCTGTGGCTAGTCAGAGGTGAAACTTGGGGTGTCTGACTAGAGTGGTGCCAAGTACTAATTACTTGAAGTTAATTTTTGCTGAGTGAACAGTGTTGGTTTGTGCTTGCTTATAGACGTGCCTTCTTGCAAGTATATGCCAGGTAATCAAACAGCTAAAGAAGGGAAGTAAAAGTACAGGTTAGCAAGGAAGGTCAGTGAAAAGCTGCTCGTTTGCTTATGGCTCACTATCACACACATGCCCCCCCCTGCCACGTTACAGCTATGCTTTCACTTAGATTTCTGTAGCTGTGTTAATTGCTATTGGTGTGAACTGATTTGTGGTTTTGGTTTTCACCACCAGTTGCTATTGTGGCTGTCTCACGATTGTTATTCAGTAGTGTCTCTGTAGATTAATTTTTTTCACTTTAATTCTAGTTACAGTGAAAAATCTTATTACTGATTGTGTCAGGTGTCATCTGTAAAGTTACACTAACAGATTTCTTTTGTTTGCAATCTTGTCTAATATACATATGAATATATATTAAATGATGCACACACTCTTTAAAAATGAAAGTCCAGAGGATATGTCACAACACGTGAGAAGCAGGGAAAATGAAAAGTAAGAGAGCCTGAACTGTAAATACTTGTCAGTTCAAGGGGAGAAGCATTCTGCAGAACCCAAGGCATTACTGTGTTTAAGCAGCTTAGCCTAGATGGACTGTGACCCTAACGCAGTACTAAATGGGTCACTCCCGGGGTATATGCATGGCTGTCCACTTCGTGTTGTTAATTAGCTGTAGGTAAAGTCCTTGGAGTTCTGGCTGTTGCAATGGTGAATATGAGCTTGTGTTATTTTGCCATGCATGTTGTTAACAGATATTTTTATTCTGCAGTGGAATAATGCTGAATATGAGCTTGTGTTATTTAGCCATGCATGTTAACAGATATTTTTATTCTGCAGTGGAATCTATAAAAAAAGTCACTCTGACAGTCCCAGGAGCGGTATAAAGAAAGATGAAAATCACACTGTCAGTCCCAGGAGCGGTATAAAGAAAGATGAAGTTGCAGTAAATCTGTTAATATCTTGAAATCTATTAATATTAGTGCCTCAATAGACCTAGTTAACACAGAAGCTTTTAGAGGTTTTGCCAACAAAAATGTTTGTGTAGAGCTAAGTGATAACAGTTTTCAAATAAGCTTTACAGGAAGTTTGTTTCTATTAACCTTGGATGGTCATTTTTGTCAGGCTCAATGAATCTTGTTTCTGCAGAGTTCGATGACCCTTCTGCTATGGTGGTGCTGGCAGAAGAAGAGCTGGTAGTTATAGACTTGAAAACTGCAGGCTGGCCAGCAGTCCACCCTCCATACCTGGCTTCTCTCCATTGCTCAGCCATCACCTGCTCACACCACGTCTCCAACATCCCACTGAAACTGTGGGAGAGGATTATCAGTGCTGGGAGCAAGCAGAACATTCACTACTCAAATATGGTATGGCATCTTTAAATGTACGTGTGTTCCCATGCATTTAAGACCAGCGTGGCAGCTCAGAATGTGGGTGGTCTGTGCTGCTGACTGCGTGTGGAGGGATGAGTCCCAACAGACATTGTCCTGCTTCTTAATAGGGTCGAGAGAGGCTTTTTTCCCAGAGCACCACCAATACAGTAACTCACACTGGGGGATTAAAATGTGATATTTTTTTCAGGCTTTGACAAGCTAGAAGGAAAGCCTGAGTGTTCCCAGCTGTCAGTGGTAACAAACTTCTCGTTTAGAAGCATGAAGCTTTCGGCACAGCTTCTTGAGGAAATGTGTAGAATATCTTCTAAAAAGCACAGCTGGTGTCAGAACAGGAACATCTAATCTAAACAAAAGCTAACAGCATGGACTGTTTCACTGCCACTTGCACTGAAGTTCATGCTCTCCTGCTGACTGCATATTCTCTTAACACTGTCACTGCCTAGGAAGTCACAGTCTTCCCTTAATGTATTTGTAGCCGTGGCCGATTGATGGTGGCACCAACATAGCTCCAGATCCTCCGCAGAGGGACTTGCTTCTAACAGGGTAGGTACTTAAATGATAACAATCAAGAAGGCCTTTCCAGTTTCTGTTCTTCCTTTGGAACTAACTGAGGCTTTTCCATGAGGTTAAAGTCTGCTCATCTTGTAGGGAGAAAGGCTGCAGCCATACAGTACAACCTCTCAAAGCTGGGCTGCGAGCTGTGTGATGCTACCGGATTCTGCTGCTTCTGAGCAAAGAGGTTGTTTCATCACAACCTCTTGCAGCTAATCTATAAAGTTGGCTTATTTCTAGTTCTGATGCGTTATCCGTTCCTGCCACAAACATCAGTGTAGAAGTGCAGGCAGTAATCCAGACTGCTTCAAAGGGAGCAGTGTAAAAGGAGAGCCTCATCTTGCAGGTTTTGAAGCCTTTTTCCTCCTCCTACCTTACATTGTTCTGAATCTCAGAAAAGAGGTGAGCTTGGACTCCTGTCTGCTTTGATCAGCATGAACAGATCTAGCGAAGTGGTAGAAGTAGCTGTCGCATCACATAAAAATGTATCATTTTCTTTTCAAAGCACTTCTAAGAATTTCAGTGGGCTGATCATCAGACTTCATTCTTGATGCAGCATGTTGTTAGAAGCCCTTACCCTGATATTGGAAGAATTCCACCAATTTTCACTTGGAGAACTAAGATTAAAGCTTGATATTTTTTTTTCCCTCCCTCCTTCCCATTAATACTATTTTTGTCAAGATGAGTTGTTCTTCTGTATGCTAAGCTTTTTTTTTCCTTTTCAGTGCTTTTTGGAGTAATCTTAAATTGTACACTGGTGTCAGGTCATTTAGAACAAACTGGATTAAAAAAACCCCAAAACGTAAATCTAAACAAAACCAAACTCCATAAAAAAAACCAACACCAAACAACAAAAAAAGCACCCCAAAAATATTTCTCTTGAAGCTCTAAGTTGTCACAGCTCAGGGCTTTGTAAACAGTGTGATTTAATCTTTGGTTGTGTTTTTTCCCCTCTGTTTTATCATCCTCCTCGGGGTGATTTGCTGTTCTCCTGTATGATGTGTGTTTCTGTAACCTTTCCCTGGACAGGCATGAAGATGGCACTGTGCGGTTTTGGGATGCATCTGGTGTCTGCTTACATCTCCTTTATAAGCTGAGCACAGTGAGGGTATTTCTCACAGATGCTGATCCCAATGACAATATGAACACCCTGGGTGAGGATGAATGGCCTCCGCTTCGCAAGGTAAGACAGCTGTTGCTTGTGGAAGCTTTCTGAAAACCTGAGGAGTTTTGATTCTTGTTCTAGTTAATGCATCTGCAAAGATCAGTCACTGTGTGTTCTCTCTCTCCCAGGTTGGTACCTTCGACCCTTACAGTGATGATCCAAGACTTGGGATCCAGAAGATCTACCTGTGTAAATACAGTGGATACTTGGCTGTAGCTGGTACAGCAGGACAGGTATTAGAATAGAAACAGTCATCATCAACCTTGCTTTTAGCACAGGTTGTCACAGTGCAACTTGGAGATGTGTTAAAATTTGAAATATTCATTTCTATAGTGGTAAATTGATGTAGTTGCTGGAAATGTTGTTTCACAGTTCTGTTTTCTCTTATCTGTTTTTTAGACTTTATCTAACACTCTTTATCAGCCCTGAGAGATGCTGTAGTTTTGTTGTTTCACAGTTCTCTGTTTTCTCTAATCTGTTTTTTAGACTTTATCTAATGCTCTTTATCAGCCCTGAGAGATGCTGTAGTTTTGCAGCAGCTAAAAAGGTCTGCAGCTTGGAGGACTGCTTAATTTGTAAAAACTGTAGCAAAGTTTGTCCTCTTCCTTGCAGGTACTGGTGATGGAACTGAATGATGAAGATGCAGAACATGTTGTGGACCACGCTGAAGCAGATCTCCTGCAGGACCAAGAAGGCTATCGATGGAAAGGTCATGAGAAACTAAAGACTCGAGATGGACCTGTTCGATTTGAAGCTGGTTTTCAGCCATTTGTCCTTGTCCAATGTCAGCCACCGGCTGTGGTCACCTCACTGGCCCTTCACTCTGAATGGAAGCTTGTGGCCTTTGGTACCAGTCATGGTTTTGGGCTTTTTGACCACCAGCAGAAACGACTGGTCTTTGTCAAGTAAGTGTCTCCTTTCCAGGAGGTTTGTGGTAATCTTCTTAAAGATGACCTGGAATTGCTAACAAAATAAGTTGTGATAAGTGATTTTATAAGAGCAGTCAGTGTAGCAAGCAGCTGATCCTCATTGGATTCTGTCCTTGAAGATCTTCAAGAATATATAAGCATGTTCTAATCTTTGTGTGTATCCTGTTGGACTCTTGGGAGTGATTGCCACCCAGTAGACAGTGACCATGTGCCTGCTGTCTCCCTCTTTCAGGTGTACACTGCATCCCAGTGACCAACTGGCCTTAGAAGGCCCACTGTCTCGGGTGAAATCCTTGAAGAAGTCCCTCCGTCAGTCGTTCAGGCGGATCAGAAGAAGCCGGGTGTCCAGTAGGAAGCGACGAGGAGGTAGTGGAAATGCCTCAGAGGTGAGGGGTCTGCCTTTTTGGGGTCTTGTCTGTTTACAGCTTGGAGCATGCAGAGTCCTGATTAGACTGCCTCCAGCAAGAGGATGTCTACAGTCCTGCTATTGTGTCAGTAGCTTCTGGTATAAGGGCAAAAATGGCAATTTCTGATGTTGTTATCTGTTGGATAAAATAGTCACATTTTTAGAGAAAACATACTGTGTGTAGTTAAACATATGATGGAGAATTTACCTGTTCGCTGTATTGCTACCATTCTTACTATCTCTCTCCCCTGCTGTGTCTTTGCCTGACTGACAAAATGTCTCCTCCCTTTGAAGGTGCAAGAAGCAAATGCCAAATTTGACCAAGACGCATTGCAGGAAATGGAACTGGCTCCAGTCCAGCGGAAGATTGAAGCCCGGTCTGCAGAAGACTCTTTTACTGGCTTTGTGCGCACCTTGTATTTTGCTGATACCTTCTTGAGAGACAGTGAGTAGAAAAAAAAGCATCTCTCCTTTCTTCCGAATGGGTTTTTCCTCCTTCTGCCAAGGAAGGTATTAGAATTTACTGCCAGGAAAATTTGGCACCTCCTGTGTCCTACTTTGTGCTGTGCTGAAAAGCTAATATAGAACAAGAGCATATGTTGTCATGCAGAATTGTTATTTTGCCATTCTGGCTGCTGGCTAATCCAAGGCAAGTACTAGTTCATTTTTGGATGCAGCCTTTATGTATGGTTTTCAGATGTGCTGGGATGACATCTGACTTTTTAGTATAAGCTTTTCCTTGTACCGTTACTCTAAAGTTCACCCCTGCCCCAGCAGAGCCTCTTAATTTTGGTGAGAGTGGTGGCTGGTTTTGTATCAGAGTCCAAACTGATATTATGCATAAACTTACTTTGTTCATATGTGATATAAATACATGAGAACTGCATCCAGCAATTGTGGTATCTGATGGAAACAGCACTCTGTTCCCTTTACTCACGTGCCATGTCCTTTATCAGGGCTGCTGATGGACGTGTGTTGGGAAAAGAAGTGCTAAGAACCTGTCGTTTCCCTGGCAAGGCTGCCATAATATAAAGATATTTAGGATGTAAACAAAGGGAGGATGTGTATAGCTAGTGGAAAGCAGTTATCCGAGGGTGTCACAGATGGTGCCTTGCTCATGAACCTTCTTGTTGCTCCAGGCTCCCGCCACTGCCCGTCCTTGTGGGCAGGCACCAATGGAGGTACAGTCTACGCCTTCTGTTTACGTGTTCCTCCAGCAGAGAGGAGGATGGAGGAACCTGTCAGGGCAGAGCAGGGTAAGTATGCCTTGTGAAAGCAAGATCTTAATGGATCTGAGCTATCACTCATATAGCCAAGAGCTGTGTACAAAAAAAGCAAGGTAATTCAATTACCGTTGTTTATCAGTGAGAGTGGAGCTAAATGTAACAGTGTCTGAGCTAAGCAACGCTCACTGCAGCAACTGAACTGAAGAGTGAGCTCCAGCACTGCCTGACATGCCTTAGCCTCATTTCCTACTGACTTCAGAAATTTCAGTTTGTGTCAGCTGTCATTGAAGTTTACCATCAAGCCTTGGTGCACATGTACCTTATTCTGACAGCCCGACCTGCTGTCTTTATGTAGTAATAGTTATTGTTTAACATATTGTTTAACCAGTTCAGTCCAAATACTCTCTAATGACTTAATCTTTTCAGGCAGTGTTTCTGTAGCCACATTGTATAGGTCTTCAGCTTTGAGAGCTGGAGTGAGATATGAGTGAGGTTCTAACATAGGGTCTGACGAGACTCCTGTTTGGTTTTTCTGTTTGTTTATTTTCCTCCTTATCTTGCTTGTCTAGCCAAAGAGATTCAGCTGATGCACAGGGCTCCTGTTGTGGGTATACTTGTCTTGGATGGACGCAGCACTCCCCTCCCAGAACCTCTAGAAGTAGCACATGACCTTTCTAAGAGTCCTGATATGCAAGGCAGCCATCAGCTGCTGGTGGTTTCTGAAGAGCAATTTAAGGTAAGTATTACCCAGGAGGTGTGTATGCACCGCATAAAATCTGCCAAAGCACTCAGCAGTGCTCGGTTGAAGGTAGTTCTTGGGAGTGCTCACTCTGCTGTACCTGAATAACACCCCTGGGGCAGCACTTCTGCTTGGTGCAGTCCGTAAATCAGGTGTGTGCTGATAAATTGGGTATTCAGCATAGTGATGTACATGCTGAACGTAGAAGTTTTATTCCTATATTACATTATACTCTTTAGACAAGGCTGCTTCTGGGAAAGGGCTTTTGCTGTGGTTAGTGCAGAAGCAGGAATTGGTGAGCATTTCTGTGAAGCAACTAAAAAGCTTCTTGTTTTGCACGCCAACTAGTCAGCATAGAAGACTTGAAGTAGCTTGCTGTAGGCTGGCCTTGGCTTTTTAATGTGGAAAAGCACACAGAGTTAGTGTAAACCCTGTTCTCTTTCTTTAATAATTGGTAGCCAAACATGGAGGGGTTTTGAAAGAACTAGGGGAGAAATGCAGTTTGCAGCCTGAAGGGTGAAACTGCTTGATGTCAGAACAGAAAGAGATTCTAACACTGACTGTGGCTGATTACTTCTGGTCCCACGAGCAGGGGGCCAGGCTGACTCGGGTTACACCTGTGTGTACTCTGTGAATGGGAGCATTGTTAGAGGAGGGAGCAGCAGATGTCCTGGGGTGCGGCTCCTGCCATTGTGCCCGAAAGAGATGTCAGTGTCTTGTTTCTATTGACAGGTTTTCACATTACCCAAGGTTAGCTCCAAACTGAAGCTCAAGCTGACGGCCCTGGAGGGCTGTAGGGTACGAAAGGTGACGGTTGCAAACTTTGGCAGCTGCAAGACTGACGATTATAGTGAAAATGACCTGGCTGTCCTGACTAACCTGGGAGACATTCAGATCATCTCACTGCCCTTCCTCAAGCTACAGATCCGCTACCCGTGCATCCGCAAAGAAGATGTGAGCGGCATTGCGTCCTGCGTCTTCACCAAATATGGCCAAGGTAAGGTGTGCTTCTCCCAAATCATCTACCTCTGTTGTGTGTCTGAGACACTGGAAAAGGGATTATGAGGCTTAGTGTTTAGAACTGGCTGTGTATACATGTGAATGTTACATAAATATATCCATTATATGTTTCTAGCCAGCACCAGTTGCCAACAGGTACTGATAGATGAATTAGCAGTGAGTTTATTCCGTTATTGTTAATGAGTACGGTGGCTTTCAGCTAACAGGTCAACCCATCTTTGGAACACCTCTAGGGATGGTGCCTCAACCACTTCCCTGGGCAGCCCATTCCAATGCTTAATAACCCTTTCAGTGTAAAAAAATTTTTCCTAAAATGCAAAATCCTAAAATGCAAACCCTTTCTGCCAAACATAGAGGATGCTTAAAGCTGTTCTTCTTTTGGATTACCTCTAGTTCTGGAACTGTGTTCTTGGACTTGAGAAGTGCTTATAAATTCCCAATCATCTGTAGGTTTCTATCTGATCTCACCGTCGGAGTTTGAGAGGTTTTCCCTTTCTACCAAATGGTTAGTGGAGCCCCGGTGCGTTGTGGACGTGCCAGAAGTTACAAGCAACAATCATGTGCACAACAAGTCTGGCATGGAGAATGCTGCAAGAAAATCCAGGTAAAGTGTAAAAACTCTTGCACACTGACTGTGAGCAGTGAGACCTGCTCCTGTGTTTGCAGCTGATACAAGCAAGCCTGTGTGATGAGTTCTTGAAGCCTGTCTCCTTTTCCAAACATTTCCAACAAAGTTTTGTATTTTATAGAGCATGTTGTCTCTAAAAACAAAAACAACAAAAAAACCCAAAACCCAACAACCAAAAAAACAAAACCAAACAACTTTGAAGTTTTTGTTAACAACAAATTGGCATGAGGAAATGTATCTCCCTGATGATTTTCCTACTTGCAGTACAGCTGGTGGGACAGAGTAGTGAAGTGTTGGAATTGGTATCCCTAAGCTAGAGTGGTAAACTGTAAGCTCTGGCTTGCTTTACCTGTTCCCTAATGATGTGTCTGACTGACACCTGACTCTTGCATACTTTAGTGTGTTACTGATGAGGCTGAACTGTTGCTCTGTGATGAGAAATCCAGTGTTCCTCCTCTCCTCCTAGAACATCAGCAAATAGCAGTAGATCTGACACTCACGGAGATTCTATAGGAATTTTATTCCAAAAGTTTAGAAATGTTCTCTGATGCCTGCAGGCTTCTGCATCACATGTGATGAAGCCCTTCCTGCATTCTTGCTCAACAAACCATTTTGTTAGCATGCACTGGAGCTTCTTGCAGCTGCCAAGAGTATATATGAATTCTCTGCACACCTGTGCCTCAGAGTCAGTGTTTGTTTTTTGCCTCCTTTCCTTTTCTAGGGGATCAGGAAGGAGTTCGGGTGACTATGGAGAAGATGGTAAGCAAAAAATAATTGTACTAAATATAGCATGGCGACATGTAAACCTGAGACATCTTTCCTATTGCTACAGTTGATGTTTTCTACCTAAGAAAGGGGAAAATTGGGAGAGGCATGAGGGAAACATTGTGACCTGCTTGGACACAGTAGTTGCTAGCTCTAAAGTAAGTTGGATGTGGCAAGATCGCCTTGAAAGGGTGGAACATAGTTTCTGCTGGAAGGAAGAGGCTGTGGGAAGATAAGGTCTGAAATTCCAGATCTTCTGTTGGCCAAACTCGTATTGCTGGAAAATATAGTTCAGTATGTGAGAGGCTTTAGGGATTAGTTGTGAAGCATTCAATAAAGTCAAAAGGTACTTAACAGGGAAAAACCAATAACTCCAGTTCTGTTGTAGGTTTCCAAAACTGCACGTATTTCATGAAAAGGGGAAAATATTGTTAGGTAACAGCTGTTTTCCTACTCTTTTTTAGAAAGGAAGTCTGGGAGGCTGATGGAACATGCCTTACTCAATGATGAAAGTGAGTAAGATGAAGTCTTGCTACTGACAGGGCAGGTGCCTTTTTGGGTGGGAATGGAAGAAAGCTGCTGGGAATTTTCCAGTACTTAATTCCAAGGGATCTGCAATTATGCAATACTGGTAGAAATAGTGGGTTTTCATGAATCAGTAGAAGTGAGAGTTTGGAGAGGTAGTCGTGCCCTCAGGCAGGGGTTGTTCCACATGGCTGCATTCACTGCTGTGATAAGAGAAGGATCTTTACTTTCCAGCAGGACTTGTGTTAAAATGACAGCTGGAACAGACTGTTCTTTTGGGGCTCTGGTACACTGGGACTGGCAACACTTCCTCTGGCAAATGACTGCTTCAGTTCTTTATGCCAGCCTGTTTAGTAAAATCTTGGTACTGTTGAAGGGGCAATGATACTATAAGGTCTGAGCTCTGTGTTGTGGGAGGCAGGTTTTAAAGGCTGTCAGGGGGAGGTGGAATGTGGCTACACTGCTGCCTGAAAGCAGATCTCCACTGGTTTGACTCACTGCTTTAACTCTTTGCTTTCCAGAAGTCCTGAAGGAGATCCAGAGTACTCTGGAGGGGGGCAGAGGGTGAGTACCAACCAACTTTTGTCCCTACTGGGTGGGGTTGTCAAGGGAGGGCATTTCTAGTTGAAAGCAGGGGGATGCCCAATATGATGTCAGGGATCCTTGTGCTGGAATCTGGTCATGTATGTGTCCCACAAACTGTCAAAGGGAAATAGTAGGAGAGAAGCAAGTTCTCTTTCACATGGTGTCCCTTGACTTTTTTATGAATAATGCTTTGTCTCTTTCTCTCCGAAAAGCAGGAGAGATCACATTCCCACATCCCAAAGGAACAGGACTCTGAGTATTCGCATCCAGGTTTCTATTTGTGTCAACCCATACTGATCTAAGGGCAGGCCACAGGGGCTTAGTTGGTCGAGGATGGGACTCTGGAGTTTAATCCTGGCTTGACACTGTCACTGGGACGTGTTCAGTATCTCTGCTCCCATTCTGTCTATACAATGGAGCTAAACTACCACCATGGGTGCGGGGCTTTACCTTGTCTCCCTAGAATACTGATGTTCAGGTGACAGGGGCTATGGAAGTGTAGACAAAGGACTACTGTTGGCAACGGATGCAGGAAGCTTGGTGGAATTGGTAACTGCTGGTGTGTAAGGATAAGTGACTGTCTGACATGCTCTGCTCTGCGCACTTCCTCTGGACACTACCTAATCCTGGTCTTCTGTCAGCAGCTGGGAGTGGATGGGATGATACTGCACTGCAATAATGAATCTTTCCTTGTGTCATTGCAGGAGCTATGCAGAAAGAAATTTGGCAAGAAATCCATTAGGACATGGACTAAGTAATGGAGGAGGTAGGTGAGGCTAAGGATATTTCAGTGCCAGTGAAGCAGCCAAAGAAAGCAGAAAGTAAAATGAAGTTTGTTTATAAATTTCAGCTTATTTAAATGGTTTGTTGATAGTGCAGAACTCTGGTCTGAATTTTCTGGATGGGAGTCTGCTGGCTGTGCGATGTACTAGCACTGTTCATCACCTTGTGCCACATTAGTAAATATGTTGCCGTTTTAAAGGAAGAGATAAAAATCCTTTGAAGGCTCCTACCTGACGCTTAACCTTACCATAAAGCAAGCTGGAGAGGTAGCCAGAGCTCATAGCAATAACCTGTTGAGTACACCAACTCATTAGCTCTCATTAGCTTTCAACTTCTGTCATCTAAAATGGCTTTTGCATTCTTTTATCCCAAAGCAGATTGACCAGAATTCATCAAGGAATTTCTGGCATCGGATTGAGTGCCATAAACACTACTGATTGGGCAAACCGTCCCTGGGGAGAGGGCACCACTGCTCCCTGCATCGCAGGCTAGTGAGCTGCAATTTGCATGCATCTGCATGCCTGCCTCTGCCTCCCCTCTTAGTGCCTCATTAGAGACATCTCCTCTTGGAGCCCGCCTTGCATTAGGACAGAAGCGGATCGCCAGGTCTGATGCACCACAAGCCTCTGAGTACATCTAACTTTTAAATGTTTGCACATTTCTCTTTTCTACTGGGCTGGGTTTTAAATTATAAATTTAACTGCCTCGGTGCAGGATTTTAATAAACGCACACTGTTACCTCCAACTGGTTTAAAATTATTTTTTTTTGTACAATTTTTTAAAATCGTATGGGTATTTCAGTTTTAACGGAAACATTTTAGAAATTTACTTTTTAAAAAAACATTAAATAATATATGCTAGATTCCTGTGACTGCTGTATGTGGTATCTGAATGAGTAATTTTGGGTTTTGTTTGTTATGGTACTGTTAACTGGCTTTATGGATTTGGGTAGAATCTATTTTTGTAGCCATTCAAATCAGAGGAGAACTAATTGAACTTGATTTTTGTTTCAACACTACGTTGCTCTTTTTTGGAAATAAAACTCTGAATTCCCTTTTGTGACCCTTGTCTGCTCTCATATCTGTTCTTCCCATCATTTGTTTCTTTCACATTGGCAACAGGCTCATGCCCACTTACCTGTTGAAGAAGGTGGAGTTGAAGCTGTAGAGGCAAAGAGCACTCCTGGAGATGAAGTGGCCTTGTTAAGCAAGGTGGTGGTTTGGAGAAAATGCATGTGGCAAGCAAGTTGATTGTATCACTGTCCTGCAATTCATACATGGTGTTGCCAGAAAAGGGCATAATTTTGGATTATAGTGCCTGAAAGGCCATCTATTACCTTGTCCTGAAATAACTTGGGTGATAACGCGCTGAAGGGAGGAACAGCTGATCTGGCAGCACTGCTGTATTAGTCAGCTAACGGATTTTGAATTGGAAGTGGTGAAACACTACGTAGAGCAGTTCGTTACTCTTTGAATTCTTTGGTTCCTTTGTGCCTGACTTAACACCATTTGCTTCTTTTCCAGCTAATAAAAAGAACAGTGTATTCTCCTATTTCCTGTAATTTGCTTGTAGCACTATGAGAGTCAGTGAGAAAGAACTAAATTCTCTAAGACTGGGTGCTGAGCTGTCATCAGTGGCATGCTTTGGAAGCCCTCTTGTTTTGAGCTCTGTCTTCCTGAGCAAGGTGGAGGGATCCTTTTGTTCCTAGAATATTAGGGTGGGCACTTTCTATTCTGCAGGAGAATATTGTTGCAGTTGCTGTTCCTCAGGTGGTGTTTCGGGCACCCTTCCTTCTAGAAGTATTAGTATCTCCTCTGAGACCTGACTTATTGCTAATGAGGTTTTAGAGAGCCTTCTCTTCTACTCAGCGTGGTCTGACAAACTTGTTTCTGTTTCCTTATTTCTGCTACCTTCATTATGTCCTTGTTTCTATTGCTGCGGGATGGAGGCTAACAGAAAGGTGGCCTGCTGTTTTCCACCTCTTGTGCCAGGCACTGATGCTGCAAATTTACAGGAAGTTGGGGTTTAATCAGCAGCTTCTGACCTGGTGTGATCCTGTGCGTGTGCATCATCCTGGCGCACCCAGCTGTTTCTTTCTGCTCCTCACAGATGGGCTGATTCTGATGCCTTTTCTGAGTATTTAATTTGCTGGCAGGCTTGGGGTGAGTGACGTGGCAGTCCTGCTTAGAACCGGCAAAAGAAGTTCATAACTTCTCCCCATTTTCAGCCATATAACTTGAAAAATCTAATAGGTCCACTGAAAGAGTTGGACTGGTCACAAAACTGCTATCAGAATTTGGATACCTTAAAGTGAATTTAGATTTAAAACCAAAACAATTCATATCCAGGTTTCTTGTTATCTTTCTGAAAGCACAAGCCAGACTGTTAAGGGGATCAGTTTAGGATGTGTGCTGATATATGGCAGATCTTTCCTAGCAATGCTTATTTGAAACTTACAGCTGAAGGATTCACTGGAATAAAGTGCTTGGCTTATTGTTGTGAGCAGAGGCATTGAGAATCCTTTTAGAGCTGCCATGTCTGAAATACAAGAGAAATAGCAAAGGGGCAAAGCAGAAGACTGGAACTCATGTGTTGTGCTTTCAATTATATTCTGAGCCAGGCAAGAGAGGATGGAAAGCCTCATGACATTCAGAACTAGGGTGTATTTTTTTTGTGCTGTCAGAAAACTACTAGCAAGTAAAATCAGTGGTGGGATAAGGTGTTTGTGAAGGATGCATTCTTCAGTGAATATCTGTAAGCAGCTTTTGAATGCAACAGGGGGGGAAAAAAATCTGTCTGTATTTCTCCCTTTCAGCAATTGCCATCTGAGTCTTGCTGTTACTCTCAGCCTGCCCATCAGCTGACAGTAACAATAATAGCCTGCTTCTGATCAGAGGATTCAGCTGCTGCCAAGCTCCTTGAGTTTTGTGCCCACCTCTACTTTTCACTTGAACTCCCCTTGTCTAGGATCTGATAGAAGCTTGCTGTGTCCAAGAGCTAATGCTTGGAAGCACTTTGAGGGCTCGTTGCCCCTTATTAAGTTTATTGCCAGTCAGGCTTTGGCAGTGCTCTCCCGTTCTCCTGCTTTATGCAGTCTCATTGGGGTCTGGCATCGTCAAGTGCCCCTTTGCTGCAGGAGCTGAGCTGCTGTAAACACTGGCTGCCAGTGCTTGAAAAAATCCTTTCTTATAGCTCTGTTGGCAGCATGTTCCCTAACTCTTGCAGACCTGTTTCTCAGCAGAGGGGAAAGTCTTGGATCACAATGAAAGAACAGCCCAAATTTTCCACATCTGAATCCACATCCTGGGTATCTATATGTGTCGCTGTTTTTTATAGTGGCCTGAGTTCTAGGTCAAATGCTTTCTTGTAATGTGAGCTCTTTTATATGGTTGCATAGTTGGTGCCAAAATTCTATAGTCCTAGAAACTCTTGGCCTGGGGCTCTTTTTTTTTTTTTCTCCCAATAATAATGCAAGCTTTCCTCAGATGTTTAGTAACTGAATATTTGCTGAATTTGTCTAACGTTTCTATTAGAAGAACATAATGTTGGAAGGAAAAGTACTTTTCATCTTAGTCGTAAGGCCGGAGGCATGTCTGGTTAGTAAGAGAATGAAATTTTTTTATAGCTTAATTGGTCTGTTTCTTAGAATATGGTTTGTATCTGTTGCAGCTAGAATAAATGCATGCCTGGACTGTAGTCCTAAATTCAGCCTGCAAAGCATGTCACTGCCTATGTGGCCTCATGAACTGGGATGTCTTTAATAAGAGCAGGACTGGGATCTGGGGTTGAATTGGCACAGCTGAAGAATGAGACAGACTTTAGTGGAAGTTTTCTTCTAAAGCCCAACAGTTCTCCCTAAGCTACATTATTTGACTTACTGATCTCTCTCAAGCAAAGGCCAAGGTTGTGTTGCAACTGTAGCAGCTTCCCCAAGGTAAGCCTGGTGCAGAAGACCTGTTCCTTCAATAGCTGCCGTCAGCTCTTGGTCCCAGAAAACTCAATGCCTTCAGTAACAGCCACAAGCCCCAAGGGCTTGGATTATTTCCATGCAGCACATCAACCTCTTCCTCCAAGCTTTCCAGATAAGGCACAACTTACAAGAAAACCAGCAAAACCCTATGTGTGAAGGCTGCTGTAGCAGTAAGATGGCCCTTGAGGTCATCCTGCTGTTGATTAATTTGTTCCAACTGTTGCTTGGGCAGCAATGGTACCTCTCCAACACAGCCCCTTGTTTGGGCAGTGTTTTCTGGTGGAAGAAGGGCCTTTTCTTCATGCTGCACCTGTGGAGATGGGTAGGCCGAGGTGGCCTGGCTTTCCCTGCTGGCAGTTGCAAGCTCTGCAATGGTAATAGTAAATGGTTCCAGGGAAAGGGTGGTGTTTTCTCCACTTAAACTAGTTTATCCATCTTCTCCGTGGCATGGAAAGTAAACAACTAAAGTAAAGGCTGCTCTTGGTGCGAGTGGTCATCTTCCACTGACTGGCTTAATGTGTCAGAAAAGAGGGTGGTGGCCGCAGAGGGGTGAGTTTCTTCCTTTCTTGGCTGGATGCTCTGCAGCCTCCTGTGAGGTGAGTCTTGGTTGGTTTTTTTTTGTGTTCCCTGTCACTACAGCCTCTGTTCAGAGACGCCTTTCCGGAGCGGGAGGGCTGAACCTGCCCTCTCCTCCTGCTTTTCCTCCGATCCGTGACGGCTCCTACCTCAGAGGGCCTGTCAATGCTGAGGGAAAACCCTTCCCGTCGGGTGCCGCCCGCCCTCCCCGCTGCGCTCCTCAGCGCCTGAGGCGGCGCCTCTTCCCGCCCTTTCTCCCGTCTCGCGCAGGCGGCAGAGGGCGCTGCCCTCCGCCATGGCCGCTCCCCTCAGGGGACTCCGCGCAGGGCCCCCGCCTCAGTGCGGCTTCTCAGTGTGTGCGAGCCCCGGCACTGCCGCCTCCCGAGAGGTACGCCGCGAAAAATTTTCTCTTTTTGTGATAATGGTGTGAGTCACGGCCTGCAGGAGTTCAGGGAAGTCCCAGGCAGCACCTTCGTCCCTCAGAAACATGCTGAAGTGCCCTGGGTGAGGTCCCATTCATGGCTGCCACCGTTGAATGCTTTCTGAGCATGGTGTAAACGCATGAAATATTTCACTTTCTTGATACTTTACCCTCAAGCTGAGCCCCAACGTCTATCCCCTGCTCAGCTGAGGATCAGCAATGCTGTTCCTTTTACTGGCTTTGCAGCAGCCTCTGCTTTTGCTGCTTAAAATAGGACTCTGAAAGCTACAAAGGTGGGAGATGGGAAATGAGAGCGAGTGGTCTCTTCCACCACCAGCTGTGAGCAGAAAAGGAGACTGCCCTGGTGTGGGGGGATGTAGTACCCTGGAAGGTCAGTCAGCTCTGCCAGGGACTGATTTTCTTGTAATGAAACACTGTTGCATAAACAAACTCCTCATTTTCCTCTCCCATCTCCTGAAGATGTGCTTATTTTGTACATGTTGACTGAGCGGGACTGTGGGGGTGGTAGGAGAAGGGACCCTGGGAACACAACAAAAGAGAGCAAAAAGGCTCCTTGCACTTGTGGCCTGTTTCAGTAGAGAGGAAAGTAGCTAAAAAGGTGCTTTGATGTGTCGCTGTTACCACTGCACACCTCTTCCCCAGCTAAATGCATTGAGACTGCTGCTCTCCAGCACTTTGTGGCATAGATTTTGTGTCTAGAGCTAAGTTACATTTTAAAATGTTTTTTTGGTGAGGGGGCTCTCTTTAAGATGGATGGTCCTGAACACATGTTGACAGCAGTCAGGGAGAGTCACCCTGGGTAGGAAGGATCTGTATCTTGGGCAGGGCCCAGCCTTCAAAAGATATGGATCTCTTCTTCCTGTGTGCTCCTGTGACAAATGAATCTCTGTATTATGGGCTTATTCCTAAAGAGACTCTGAATGTTGATCATTTGTTTCAAGTCAATCTCCTGTTCTCTGCTGGTGCTTAGGGCAGGGACTTCAAAAATGAAGCCTGGCTTCTGCTCACACTCTCCTTCCCTAAAGGGAATTTAGCTTTATCAGATTGCTGTGCTGGGCCCTTGAAAAGCATGCT